GGTGAAGGAACTTGACTGGTCTGCAGAGTCCTGACCTCAACCCAATAGAACACCTTTGGGATGAATTAGAGCTTGGACTGCGAGCCAGGCCTTCTCGTCTGACATCAGTACCTGAGCTCACAAATGCTTTTCTGGAATAATGGTCAAACATTCCCATAGACACACTCCTAAACCTTGTAGACGGCCTTCCCAGAAGAGTTGAAGCTGTTATAGCTGCAAAGGGCGGGCCAAGTCAATATTGAACCCTACAGACTAAGACTGGGATGCCATTAAAGTTCATGTGCGTGTACAGGCAGGCCTCCCCATACTTTGGCAATATAGTGTATGTCCATGGGTGGATGGACGCAAATAGATGATTATCTGTTTACATCTGCCTACATCTGTGTCTATTTAGGTCCATTTTTGAAAATAGTTCAAAGCTGTGTTCTTTTTCATTTAGATAGATCAAAACAGATGTTGTCCATTTACATCTGTTCCTTAATGTCTATTTTTAGGCAATAATTGTATTTGTTTGTTTATATTTCTGTCACCTATAATTGGCTTTTTCAACACCAAAAAACTGAATTGAACTGAACAGAACTGAGCTAAAATGAAGTGCAAACTGATGTAAACTGAACTGAAGATGGATGAGCAAACTTATGTAAACTGATGTAACATGAATCCACATTCATCAGTCTTTTCTTAGCAAAACACATGGCTGAACTGATGATGGCTATGTGAAAGGTTTGTTTGTTTTTTGTTTAGTTTTGGATAGAGTGTAGAAGGGGTTAGAACATGTTAGGTTTTTATTGCTGCTCATGTCCTCTTTATGGATATTCACCCTCTCTGAATGTCCTGTTTCCCGCTATCATTGAAAGTGAAAGTAAATCCCAAATTTTGGGTTGTCCCCAGAACAGTAATAGAGGAGAAATCTTCCACGGGGATACTAGTTGTGGTAACAACAAGGGATTTCCTCACTTTGGAGGGATTTAATATCACTTCTTGTTTTTGGCTACAGGACAGGAAGTGAAGGGAAATTTTCCCAATGGGACAAGGATGTAAAGAAAAAAACCCTGGCAGAAGATATACCCTTCCCTACTCTACCCAAAATGATAAAAGCATTGGCTTTAGATCTACCTGTATCTTATTTTATTAGTCACTTATGTCAAAGCTATGTAAACCTGCTTGTGCACCAAACACCACCCTTCCCCCAGAGTGACAATGCTGATGTCTCTGTTGCTCCTCCATCTAATGTAGAGGCATCAAGACAGGAAGTATGTCACTGACTTAACAGGTGAAAATAAAGGAAAAGAAGCCTATAAAAAAAGAAAATGAATGTAGCCACCACATTTAAGGATTGGTATGATCCAAAGTATGAAATTTTGTTTTTGGGTTTAACTGCTTCTTGACCGCGTCATGGCCAAAAGACGGCTACAGCGTGGCTCCCCAGTTCTGGAAGGACATCCATGGACGTCTTCCCACATGCCCGATGCACACCTCCCTGGGGTGCGCATCAGGCATGATGACTGCTGTGTCCTTTGGATATAGCTGATCACAGATCGCGGTAAAGGGCCAATCACAGCAGGCCTTTACCATGTGATCAGCTGTGTCCAATCACAGCTGGTCACATGTAAACAGACTTGCTGTCTCTGTGCGAGGAAAAGAGAGCCGATAACCGGGTATTCTAAAAGGGACAGTGAGTACAATGTTTACACTGTTAATTAGGGAACTGATTATCAGTGCCTTGATTATCTGTTCAGTCCCATCAGTGCAGGCTATCAGTGTTATCAGTGCAGCCTCATCAGTGCCCATCAGTGCAGCTTCATCAGTGAAGAAGAAAAATTACTTATTTGCAAAATTTTATAACAGAAACTAAGGAAAACTTTAAATAAAAACCCCAGTGGTGATTAAATACCACCAAAAGAAAATTCTGTCTAAAAAAAATTATAAAAATTTAATTACGGTAGAGTGTTGCATAATTGTGCAACTGTTATTCAAAGAGCTACAGTGCTGATAGTTGAACATTGGCCTTGACAGGAAAGGGGTGAAAGTGCCCAGTACTGAAGCGGTTAATAATAATGTGAATTTTGTTTTAAAAAGGTGTCTTTTTTTGCAGCAAACTTTTCAAGACTAAGGGCTCATGTACACAGCAGCTGGTAAACTGACGTTCAGTAGCTGTTGAGCATTTTTTTCAGCAGCCCCTGAACTCTCCTTTATGTTGTCCATGTACACAGTCATTTACAGGCAGTTGAATTTACAGTCATTTTCTTGAAAGCACAAAAAATTGCGTTCAGAAGTAGATTTTACCGGCGTTTCAAACGACAAAAACGCTTGTAAATGCAGTTAACGGCGTTTACAAGCGTTTGCGTTTAGACACTTTTTTGACAGGTTCATATCCAGCTGCTGTCCAGAGCCTATTTTCTTCATCAAAGTGTTTTCTATGTATTCAAATGGACCTAGTACACCAGTGCAGTCAGTTCCAGTGTTTGCGTGAAGGAAAAAATGGTAGAACGTGCTGCATTATGCTCATGATGGGATCCATAGTGAATACAACCAGAAAAGACAGGTAACCTCAACACATACTGCTCTCTCTGCTTCTGCTCTCTCTATTCCTCTTAATTATTTACACAATTTTCAGTGCATTCTGGGCATTTGGGAAGGTCTCCTGAGGTTATCTTTTAAAAAAGCTTCTAAACACAAATGTGCATAAACGTGGCTAAACGCGGTATTCAAACGCACCTAAACTGATGTTTTTTAACCTACGTTTTCTAGCAGTCAGTTTCCAGCAGTCAGAAGAATTTTCCATATGCCCCTTGTACATGAGCCCTAAAGAAAAATATAAAAGCAACCACATCAAGACTTGTCAGGCTATAAAAAAATATAGATGTGACATTGCAGTTTTCCTAGAGAGTCCACGTCTATCATTCTCATCCCTGCCTCACTAATTCCTGTGGAACCAAGCTATAGAAAGCACATGTATGTCCTGAGAATTGATACACATCATGTTTTAGGTCAGAAAAGGAAATAGTGCAGAAGGTATAATGACATCAGTAAAGTCAACGTTAACCACTTGTCTACCAGGCATTTATACCCCCTTCCTGCCCAGGCCAATTTTCAGCTTTCAGCGCTGTCGCACTTTGAGTGACAATTGCGCAGTCATACAACATTGTACCCATATGAAATTTTTAGCATTTTTTCACACAAATAGAGCTTTCTTTTGGTGGTATGTACTCGCCGCTGAGTGTTTTATTTTTTGCGCTATAAACAAAAAAAGAGCAAACATTTTGAAAAAAAAATGTTTTCTTTGATAAAATGTTGCAAACGTAATTTTTCTCCTTCACTGATGTGCGTTGATGAGGCTGCACTGATGGCACTGATAGGCTGCACTGACGGGCACTGATAGGTGGCAGTGACTGGCGGAACTACTGGGCACTGACTGGCGGCACTGCTGGACACTTGTGGGTGGCACTGATGGGCACCGCTCATCAGTGCCCTGATGATCGGTGCCGATCCCTCCTCTAACAATTGTCAGTTATCGGCTGTACTTTCCTCACGCTGTGACAGTGTGAGGAAACTGCAGCTGATAACTGGCAACTGCATTTATCGGTGATCTGCTGTGTCATTGGACATGGCTGATCATGTGGTAAAAGACCGCTGTGATTGGCCTTTTCCCACATCACGTGATCAGCTGTGTCCGTAGGACACTGCGATGATGGAGATTGCCGGGTGCGCGCCGCTGGGGGACGAGCGGGAGGGAGCGTTCTGGGAGGACATAAAATGATGCCCTCCCAGAACTGGCCGGCCGCAGTGAAGCCGTCATTCAGCTATCTGCGGTCAACAAGTGGTTAAAGGATAAGCTCACCTTTCGTAACACTGTCCATCGGGCGGCACAGTGGCTAGCACATCTGCCTTGCAGTAAATTGGTCATGGGTTCGATTCCCGACCATGGTGCCTCCTGCATGGAGTTTGCATGTTCTCCATGTGCTTGCATGGGTTTCCTCTGGGTGCTCCGGTTTCCTCCCACACTCCAAAGACATGCTGGTAGGTCAATTGGATCCTGTCTAAATTGGCCCTAGTATGTGTATGTATGAATGTGAGTTACGAACCTTAGATTGTATGCCCCTTGAGGTTAGGGGACTGATGTGAATGTAAAATATATGTATATGTAAAGCACTGCGTAAACTGACAGCACTATATAAGTACCTGAAATAAATAAATAAAATGTTACACCCATATTCAGGATGTAACATGTTATGATCACACTGGCCCCCACTCCCCCCCAATCCCTGGTTTGACAACTAGTGGGTGATCTTCTCCCTCCTCGCTGTCAAATTATAAAAAAAGTGATCAGGCAGGGCTCCACCCACACAGTTGCATCACCCATTCACAGTCATCTGTGAACAAGAGACTACAAGTCCCAGCAGCCTTAGCGGCTGTCAGCTTGTAGTCCTCAATGAACTGCTATGGCGCTACGAAGAGCTGTAATAGTTTATTCATTCTTCTGTCAGTGTATATGCTTGCTTGTATATCCTATATGATGCAAGCAGATATACTGACAGATTGCAGGAGACCTGCATGGCACCAGTGATCTGCTGATCACTTGGTACAATGGTTTACAGGCTCCTGCAGACAAAATTAATAAATGCACATTTTTTTTTTCCTGCAAAAAAATGTACATTTACGATTTTTCTCTAAAAGGCGAAGTCATCCGTTAGTGAACACCCCAGCTCCTTTATTTATTCCTGACACCATGGAGCAGAAGCCAAGAAATGTCACGTGACGGGCAGACTCAGCGCCTACACGTCGCCGCCACGTTCCCGCGCATGCGCCGCTTGTCCTTGTCGGTTCCGGGTTTCTTCTCATTCCTCCATGCCCACGTCATCACACCTCTGCCCTGTGTACAGTGCTGAGTTCCTCCGCCCATTCTTCACCCTTCACCCCTCTGCGTCTCCGAAGCACCGGGCCCTGTCCCTTCACTTCACCTGTGTTCTCTCACAGACCGCGACTCAGTCTTCTCCACCATGAATTTCCTAAGGGGAGTGATGGGAGGTCAGCAGAGCTCCGGGGTACAGCCATCTGGAGCGGAAACTGTGAGTGGCAGCCGGGCTTCCTGCATGTTCTGTATGTAAGGTCCATTCTGAGGTGCTGTGTGGGTCAGGATAGGGGGAGTACAGTCAGAGAGAGGGGATTGGAGACTTAGGTGACGTCCAGGTTTACATATGTACACTGTATGTGAAGGTGTCATGGCTGGAGGAGTTTCTTCTACAGTAAAGTGGGAGTAAAGCCACTTTGTGAATTTTTACCTATAAGTGAGATTATAATAAAGCGTAGCTGTACATGAAATGAATATCTCCTAAATGTTCACTGTTTAGGAGATATTCTGATTTTTCTACAGCCGACGCATGTGCTCTGAAGGAACTGCATACCCGTGCCGTTCCTTCAGAGCACTGTGCCATGTCCCGAGACTCCCATGCGCATGAGTGACATCATCACGGTGCAGCCAGCCAGATTGCAAGTGTACAATCCAAACGCACACGTTCCTGCGTTAAAAATGGCTGTGTGTATAAGTGGGTGCTGCAGCGACCGTCGGCTGGAACCGAACAGAATCAGCGAGGGAGAATGTCACCAGCACACCGAGGATCACCAATATGGGTCCAAAAGGTTTTAATGAACGATCATATAGTTACAGCAAGGCAACGTTTCAGAGTCTCGCAGGACCCCTTCATCAGGCATGCGTGACTCTGAAACGTTGCCTTGCTGTAACTGTGATCGTTTCTTAAAACTTTTGGACCCATATTGGTGATCCTCAGTGTGCTGGTGACATTCTCCCTCAGCCAGATGACTGGAGCTCCTGAACCCGGAAGGAAGCCCGGGTGAAGATGGAAGCCTCTGCAGCAGTGACAGCGTGCTGCTGGAGGGCTTCATTTTAAGGTGCGTTTAAGGTTTTTCCGATGCATACTAGCACATTATGCCTTTACCTTGCAGGAAATTTTTCCTTTTTTTTTGGATGTGGTTTACTACCGCTTTAACCTCTTGGTGCACACCAAACGCAAATGTGTGGCCTCCCGACGTCTGAGCCTAGACTCCAAGCAGCCACACATTTGTGTTCTATTAAAAAAAAGACGTGCTGAGAGTGCATGCCCTGCGCGCTCCCAGCACACATGTCCAGTACTCACGGAAAGGTTCCGATCTCCTCTTTCAATCGGGACCTTTCCCCGATCATGTGACCGGCATGTCACGGTGGTCTCATGACTCTAAACCCCGCCCTGCCTCCTGGCTTCTGAAACCCTTAAAGGGCTGGGAGGTGCAGGCGCCAAGGGGTTAAGGCTGATGTTAGACGAGCGACTCTGTCACTAGTGATCCTGCCACTGACCATTTGTCAAAATCACCAGCAGCAGGATGGCTACAAGGCTGCCTGTTCATCTCTATGGAATCACCTACTCTGTACTCACTCCCATCACTAGCGATCAAGATTCAGCAACGTTCAGACCAGCGACTTCTTGTTATATCTGGCTACAGAGGGTGTGATTCCATAGGGGCAGACAGGAATACCCTCTTACACTGGTGATTTGTCACTAGCAGCAGAACCGCCAGTGTCATCAGCCATATGTCACCTCATTTTGTTAATGCCTGACACTTATGGATTATATAGATTCTGTGGTTGATTAAGGCTAGGTTTACATCACTATGAATGTGGAATGCATGCGAACAATGTAGCAGGTGGGGTGGAGTGGGGGTGGCATTAATTCTTATTAAAATAACAAGTATATTATACTTACCTGCATTGTGCAGAGCCCCTGAACCTCTTCCCCAACCAGCGTTTTCGGCTCATCCTTTTTTGCTGCAGCACCATAGACAGCTGCTTCCTATGGGGGCCCACATGTGGGCTTTCTCCCAAGCTGGGCTGTGTGCGTTTGTTGATACATAGCATGTCTCAGCCCTGCTCTCTGCTCACATGATTTGATTGACAGCAGCAGGAGCCAATTTATTTATTTATTTATCGAGTTTATATAGCGCCAAAGGGTTTGCTCAGCGCTGTACAATAGAGGGGGGGACAATACATGAAACAGAACAGTAACATCAAACAGCACATAAGGGGTAAGAGGGCCCTACTCTTTCGAGCTTACAATCTAGGAGGGAGGGGGTAGAGGCACAGGAGGAAACGGCTGTGGGGGATGGAGTGGTAGGAGGAGGGAAGGGCAGCGGCTGTTAGGTGAGGGTGGGGTAGGCTTCCCTGAAGAGGTGGGTTTTCAGGGAGCGCCTGAAGGTGAGGAGGGAAGGTGACAGTCTGATGGATTGGGGTAGTGAGTTCCAGAGGATGGGGGAGGACCTGGAGAAGTCTTGCAGTCGTGCGTGGGAGGAGGAGGGGGACCAGGGAGCAAGATAGAAGGAGGTCCTGTGAAGAGCGAAGGGTACGGGTAGGGTGGTACCTGGGAATCAGGTCGGTGAGGTAGTTAGGGGCAGTGTTGTGAATGGCCTTATAGGTCAGGGTGAGCAATTTAATTTAATGCGTTGGGCAATGGGGAGCCAGTGGAGGGAGAGGCAGAGGGGGGGTGGCAGAGGTGGAGCGGCTGGTGAGGTGGATGAGTCTGGCAGCTGAGTTCAGGATGGTCTGAAGCGGGGAGAGTTTGCACTGGGGTAGGCCGGTGAGGAGGGAGTTGCAGTAGTCAAGGCGTGAGATAATCAGGGAGTGTACGAGTAGTTTAGTGGTGTCTGGGGTAAGGAAGGAGCGTATCTTGGCGATGTTTCGGAGGTGGAGCCTGCATGTGTTTGTGAGTGATTTGATATGAGGTTGAAAGGAAAGGTTAGAGTCCACAATGATGCCAAGGACCTTGGCTTGCTGGGCGGGATTGATGGTGGTGTTGTTGGTAGTGATGGAAAGGATGGGGGGGGCCAATGGCTCACTTTGCTGCCTCTGTGAGCAGAGAGTGAATTGCTGCAGACGTACAGAGCGCTCGATCAAGATCAGGCTCAGGTAAGTATACATGAGAGGTGAGGGGACGATACAAATACAGGGACATTTTTTTACCTTAAAAGATAAGTGTAGGATTTTTTTTTTTTTTTTTTTAAATCATACTTATCTAGGTGGATGCAGCATCAGTCCCCCGCCAGCTCTAAGTGTGAGAACTCTGCAATCACATAATTGCTGAGTTCCCATAGCCGCTGTGTTGGTGACTGTCAATCAGTGCTGTCTGCTCCTCCCTCCATCGTGCTCACTGGAGTGCTGGGCTGTGGAGTGGGAGGAAGCAGCTGGCTCAGGCTGTCAGCGGATTTCTGAGAGGCTAAGCCAGGTACCTCTCCACACACTGGGGTGGATCCTGATTTTAAAGTTAAGATCTTTCGCCAGCCTGGACTGGCGAGTGACATCAGTCGACTGGGCTTCAGCCTGCTGTCAGCTCAAAATGAGTCACCACACATCCTGTGATTCACAGGAGAAGTACAGCCAAAAGAGCTTTGGCTGTACTTCTTTAAATCAGGGAATTGCTTTAAGTAAACCATATTCAGCCTTTAGAACCATTTTAATGGCACCCCCACACATTGACAACCACGGTGTGATTTCGCTCTCCAAACCACATGCTGCTGCAAAGACTTAGTCTCCAAAGGACACAGCGATCACAGAGCTCAGCCCATTGGCATGCAGGAGGCCAGTATTCTGTAGGTTTATAGACGCCCTCCCAGAACTAGACAACTGCGCTGAAGCTGTCTTTTGGCTATAGCGTGGTTGGCAACTGGTTAAATAAACATTTTGACGTCTGAGTGATATTTACCAGATTAATCTGGTGGTGTTTGCATTTCCCGATAGACCACTGGTGGCAGGTGTATCTGGGCCACTTCATTTGACTGGCATTGCAGCTATTCCTGGAGGCAGAGCTGCAATGGACTGTGGCCGCATCACCCTGAACGCGCCTGATCCAGTCTGAACTCAGAAGCTTAGCAGGGTCAGGCCTGGTTAGTACTGGGATGGGGGACTGCCTGGGAATACCAGGTTCTGTAAGCTTTTCCCCTCTAGAGTCTGAGGCTGCTGTGTTTTGAGAAGTATCTCTGGTCAGAGGTTGCTAGGGCATTCTCTGAGGTGGTTCGCTCTGTCTTTGGCTGCAGAAGCCCAATAGGTTGAGTAAGCCACTTTGGACCTTCTGGGTTCGCTGCAGAGTTATCAGGCTTTTGCCTTGCATTTTCTCTTGGAGCAGAAGTTATGGGCTCATTATTGTAAGACACTCTACAGGTTCATGGGCCTGAAACCAGATGGGAACGTGAGGTCTATCTTCGATCTCAAGGCACTAAACAAATTTTTAAATGTCCTTCTGTTTTGGATGGGATAGGACTGATCAGTGGTGGCCTCTCTGCAAGAGATTGATTTTGGGTGTTATGCATATCTTTGTGTGCAAATTTTTTATTTTTTTTTCCAGCCTCATCAAAGGTTTCTGCTATTTACAGTAAAAATCACCATTTTGTTTTGGGGCCACTGCCCTTTGGACTGTCCACAGTCCCCCAGTGTACACAAAGCTCCTAGCCCAGGTGCTGGGTTTGCTGAGAATGCAGGAGGCTGTCAATCTCAGGATGCCTCAATAAGGAGGAGGTAACACTGATAATAGTGGTAGCCTGGCCTAGCCCAGGAGGGCTTGGTACACCAACATAGTATATCTGGCAGTGGACGCTCCTTGGACACTTCCAGTCTGCCCAGACTTATTGTCTTGGGTCCAATGGTATATCCTGCTTTACAATCGCTGGGACTGAAGGCTTGGCTATTAACCGCCTCCCGCCCAACATATAGTACAATGACAGGTGCAAGACGGTTCTCTCGTTCTGGGAGGACGTCATATGACGTCCTCCCATTCTAAGCACGCAGTGCGGCGATACGCTGTGTCCCTCGGACACAGCGGATCACCAATCAACGGAAAGAGCCAAAGATGTCGGCTTGGTCATGTGATCAGCTGTGTCCAATCACAGCTGATCACATGTAAACAGGGAAATGCCGGTTATCAGCATTTCTCTCCTCACGAGCTGTCACGCTGACAGCTCGAGAGGAGAGCCAGTAATCGGCATTCCTCAGAGGGGACATGTACACAGATCATCAGAGCACTGATGATCA